TTTATTCGCTTCAATAGCTTTGATCTTAGGCCCTTTGAATAACGCCACTCAAGATTCAGAGAATACGTTTAAGTAAATGGTTTTCTATTTTAGTGTCTTTCAGAATGCTATAGAATTATCAAATTTCCTACCATCAATAATCCTATGAATGACTGTTACCAGTTTATTATTATTTTAGAAAGATTTATTTGCTAATTTTAGAACTAAGGAATTGCGTTATTGAAATAGCAAAATAACTACGCCTTTCTCCAATACAAAGCTAGAAGCTTTTCTTGGTTTATTTTAGCTAACAAAATGGAATCTTTCTGTAGCAGAAAATTGTGAAAAACTTTAATAAAACCTCTATTTTATGGCATCGAGTTTGATCGAAGCGGCAAGCGTTGCTTTACTGTATGTACGGGATAGTCGAATGCGGGCGACAGCCGTGCAAGATAAAGAGCGTTCCCGTAGGAACAAAGCGTGTCCCAATTTAATCGTCACGTAAAATTATACTATTTGCGTGTACCCCGTTCGTTCCTGCCAGCAATAATTTCTATTGTAAGATAACTAGAGCGAGTTCGTGATGGATTTATGTTCAAACTTCATGCATAAATTGGTATGTCGTATGGGACAAGCGGATTAATCCACTAGGTAGTAACTTGAAGCATTTATTGTTACTGGAGCTTTTGTTATGAACAACGGTGGCGGTGCTTGGGCTGTCCAACTTACAGAAGATTAGAGTCGAACGAATCGTAATTAGAATTAAAGGAACCATCGAGACCACGAGTCGCCGCGGGGAGAATAAAGAGTATGTGATATTAACAATGTTATCTTCAAATCTAAAGGGATATTAGGATATGAGATTGTGGTCTACGGAATCAAAATGTCAATTCCCGGAGGTATGTACCGAAAATCCGTTTCTAAATTATAAAGCTCAGCCAAACGATTACTTGGAGAACTGGGCCTTATTACAACGGATGTGCTATTGTATTATGGAGTACAATTCCCTGACCGCTCCAGATGGACGTCGAGGCCGGCTCGAGTGTGACTGACAAGCTCGCGAGATAATGCGATCTGCCGAAACAAAGAGCTTGATATGGGCCTAGAACTCACGACATAAGTTATTTTGGACCATATCAGCCAACTAATTTTAGATGAACCCGATAACCTATAAATCACGAATGCCTATCCTCATCTCCTTACTTAACGTTTCTGGGAATTGACCAACATTTTGCAGAGCGCCTGTCGGCCTAATTTGCTTAAGATTGGATAACCCTGATGAAGTGACGTAGCGTGTGGGGAGTTCAAACATAAGATTAAATTAATCCGATAACAATATTGTAGAGAAAATGTTCGTTAATTACATGTAACATATACCTTTGCGTAATAGATTTAGAAGACGAGCAAGAACTAATTGTCACAATTAGGTAGGTAATTACAAAAGGAAAATTATTTTACTTAGGAAAGAATTTCGTAGCGCCGTATGTAAATAATAGTTTCCAAGCAGTTTCAATATAGACTTAGAATGGCTTTTGCTGTACGAGTATGTAGATATTCTGCCGTGTGACCTAGCCTTATCCACTCTATATCAAGTCCCACTACAGTCTTGACCATTGCCACTTATCAGAGACCAGAATATACTATACGAACGTGACGGTAATGCGAAGCTTACCCGCTCATAAATTTGAATGCAAGTAATAAATTGAACATGGTTCGAGCGACGAATTTGTAATCGCCGGTATTGTCTCATAATTATTCATTTATCGTTTCTATTTATGTGATCTTTGCTCTTGGATGAGTAATGACTATCTACCTACTTGGTGACGTTATTTTAAACAAAAATAATATTCAACATTTTACTTTAATTCTACTATAATACTTTACTAATGTGACTTAACTATTAATGCTGAAACTTCCTGTTACTATACCTAATTAAAGCCCGAACCAATTTTTATTTATTTTTACTTTCAAACAGGACTTTGAGGAGAGGGTAAATGTAATAAAGGGGGTGAAATTGGGTATGAGATTGCTTGTATCTGTTAGTGATTTAAAAACTATATTTCGTGTTTTAATAATGGATTAGGAAAAATAAATATTATTAACAATTCGGAATCTATGAGACACTGCCAGAACTTTAGATTATTTAAAATGAAGACGTAAAAACAGATGCCTACATCCCCATAGCAGAGCGTATTATCAAATTCACGGCAATCTTCAACCCAACCGAGCTCGTGTGCCTAACGATATTACACAACATAAACAAAGAATCAAAAAGCACGTCTTTCGGCGGCATGAACGAGCCATAAAGTAAAATGTTTAGGGCGTCATCGTGAGAAAAGCGGGCAATTGAGACATTACACTGTTTAGCGAGCGGGGCCGTAACGAGCGCAACTCGGTAAATGCCGGCTACAAATTACAAGTAGGCGAGCACTATGGAACCCCCTTTCTTAATTACCGCATTTCGTCACCTCATTATGTGAGCAAACTTTATGGATACCCTAATATTCGTCGCACGGAAAACCAACGAAGCTGACGATAGGTGCGAGTACGCAGCGCGCGCCGTTTAGCATTCCGCATTCACCTAATAAAATTCATGACTCCATTTCCATACAAATGTATTAGGATGGCAGACATCTTTCCGGATTTGAAGAGATTGTACGATTTTTTCATATTACATGAGCTAATAAAGATATTTGAAACATATTATGTAAATGAAATGATAATGTTTTGGAGGTTCGTGCCTTAAATCCTGTAGAAAACGATATTTTTGTTTTTATGATTCTTAGTTTTTGGGTGGTGTAAAATAAACAGTCAAGTAAGTATCTTTTTAATGTTAGTTTAAATCACAAAAAAGTTATGTGGTTAATTCATTTATAAATATTTAGCATAGGTCTTACTAAAGTGAACTAATGTAATGTAAGGTAGATTCTTTAGGTAGATAGACACTAATAATAGTGCCTGCAATAATTAGATAATTAACAAAAAATTTTAGATAAGAGACTTCATAATTTTGGTGGTCTTATTGCTAGGGGAGATGTCATCTAGCTAGACCAACAACAGAAATAATAATTTTCTAAGTGGAGTTTTTCTTCTAGAAATTTAAGTAGATATTGGTACATGAGTAAACGCATAATGGCATCACAGGTTATACATTAGCAACATTATTATACCAGATCCTTTCTATCATTGTTTTTGGATATTTCAGTGCAAGATTTGGACATGCACAGTATCAGCATTTTAGGAATATTTCCCAAACTACTTACCCTGGACTACCTGTTTATTTTTCTTTCTGCGTTCATTTGCAATCAGCCCCAAGACTATGAGGAAATCTGTTCTGTAGTGCCTGGACTACCTAGATACTTTAATGTCCCTTAAGGACCCTCTAAAAGATTTTGAAAGCTTTTTGACTTCAATAATTATACAATTCCACAAGCCAGTAGATATTTTATTCTTATGGCATAGCATCCAATTGTGATTCACCATTAAATGTTGAACAAATAATTTTATTAGACCCTTCTTTCTAAGAAAAAACAAACTTGATCAGTACTTAATAACCTATCTACATAAAAGTAATTAAATTCTAAGCTGTGTTCTGTTACATCTTTTTCATTTACCACAACTTTGCATCCTTAGGCCATTTGTAGACATCAGTTTTCTCAAAGGAGGACAGACCGTCACAAAACTATATAATTCTTATTCTTTGTTTGCTGTCAATTTTCTCACCGGTCCTATGTCAGATGCATGTGCACGTTTATTATTTATAAATCGAATACGAACCGAAACCGAACCGAGAAAAAATTAGGCTGTAGTCCTTTCCAAAAATTGATGTTTACAAGCGGCCGTACAAGTTTTATGTTAGTTAGTAGAGTTAGGTCATACTGTAGAAGATAAATATTTTAACTTTTACTATGTTAATATGGATTTACTAATTTGGAAACATAAATTATAAACAGACATGGCAAATAAACATCCTACAGTTCAATACCTAATACCAACAACAGTAGGGAAAGTATTTAACACCTGGAAACAAGTCAGTTATGTCATTAATTCAAGATTATGCACTATTAAAGTAACACCCAAACAAAACAAAACTAGTTTCAATCTTGATAGCAACAACATCAATTCATAAAAATGACTTTGTTTTGTTTCGTCAATACATTGCCGGTAAAAGTAGTCGACAAGATGCTTGTAAAGCACAAACATATTATTATACCTAGGTAGTTAAAAAAAATGCTTGTTGTGCTGTGATACTTTACCTTCAGGGTCCGGATGACAATTCTTAGTAGGTTACAAATTCCAATAACACAAGTAATATTACAATCCGAGTGCTACTTATCAATAGCAAAATAAACTGGCACTACGAAAAATACTTCAAAACACGGAAATACGAAAGTCGTCTTTGTTTTTTTTACTATTTTTGATGGCATTTCTCACAAACGAACCCGATGACAACGAACACTGCACGACATTTACTAAAATTTCGTTTTGTTCCACCATCAAATGTCAGCACTATTGTCTCATAATATTTAAAGTTTTTTTACTCAAATAAATTATGATTACTTTGCCAATAATTTAAAAAGCACAAGTTTTATTTAAAACTATAATAAATAATAAAATAGCAATTAACAGTAATAGCAAAAATTAAAATCTTAAAATATTTTACTAAATAACAAAACGTAACTTTTTGGATAGAGCTGCCCCTCCGCCATCCGTTGTTGATGGTATTAATCGTATCAAAATCGTATCGTGCGTGAACAATCGTGATCCACAAGACATCAGCGTAAGTGCAGACAACGTTATAACAATAAAAAAATCTTTGTTTATTGCTGTGGTTTGGTTTATTGTTTGTGTTGATGGCCTCCACTCACGTTGCGCAGCAATTTTTTTCATCCCAAATAACTGTTATTCAGAGCGATTGCTACTGAATAAATTTAAAAAACAAAATGTCAGCTTATCTGTCAGTCAGCTGTCACATCCATCAGTCGAAAATATGTATTACTTTTCTCTATGGTCGAAAATATTTGTGTAGAATTTTAACCACATGTGAAAAACATTAATTTTAACTAAAAATGAACAAATTGATTAACCATTTATTTAAGAGCACCATGGTCTTGTGCCATCGGTCTCATAATGCAGTAATTAATGCTTCAGCTATCGCAGTAAAAAGAGATTTTCATACAACACATACGGCGCAAGACTTGATGGAATTCTTTGATGACAAGAAAAATTGGTCTGAGACTAATATCAGAGTTGGGAGAGGTTGGAAATTAGACGAACTCAGAATAAAATCCAATACGGATTTACACAAACTATGGTATGTATTACTAAAAGAGAGGAACATGCTGTATACAATGGAGCATGAATGTAAAGAACAGGTTAAATTGTTTCCTAATCCTGAACGAATTGATAAAGTGCAAGAGTCGATGAATAATATCGAAACAGTAATTAAAGAACGCAATGTTGCATACTATAAATTGGAAACTGGGGAGACAGGGGAGAGGCCAGTAGAGGATGTTGTCAGTCTAATTGGACTTCCAGAAAAATATGAGAAAAAGGAATATCCTATACCCCAATTTATGAATACTAGGTGGGTAAGAACATATCTAGAACATGGATACATTAATAGCATAGCTGTAAAGAAATTTTTAAGGAAGTACAAGGAAAAGCAATACAATGAAGAAAGGAAAGCTCGTAACAGGGATTACAACCACGTCCAACAGTTGCTCAAGAGATTCCCAGATATGGATATGGAAAAGCTGAAAACGGAGTACCCAAGTGTTGATATAGAAAAGGCTAAGCGCACCAAAAAAGCTAGGGGTCACTATTTTCCCAAGTATTAGTCCTTTGTTAAAATGAAATTATAGAATTAAATATTTTAACATCTGATAACTACTTTCATGAAAAACTCATTTATGATTCTCCATAAGTGGAAGATGAAAATAAAAAATAAGTTTAGAACACAAGTTGATGTTTTATTTGCCAGCATAATTATTTTATACAATTATCAGGTAACATTTTAATCAGACTTCAAGAATAACAATAACATACTGAACTAAATATCTGAAGACAATTAAATGTATTTCTACATAGACCTCTATTTGTAAGTAGTTAGTAGTCTACGTATGTAGGTAGTACATACACCTATTTGTATTGTAATGAAAAGATATACTGTAAAGAAGCGCCATCTCTTGGCCAAACAGAACCAACATCTGTACAAAAGTGGGAGACCCAAATATTTGGACCTAAGGGGAGACCACCAATAATAAGTTACAATTTATTGAGTATAGCCAGCTAAAGTGCCTACAAGAAATCAAAGACAAATTAGGTTGTTACAAGAGGTGTCCAGGCACAAAGTAACACAAAATTAAAAGAACAATACTATTAGCAACATCTCTTCTCACTTAAAATACTATGGCACTGAGTCAAGCAAAAGTTTTTTGTGATAATAATAAAAGCTATCATTAAGATGAATCAATCTCATTGTTCATCTTTCTACAAATTATTATTATGAAGGGTCCAACAAAAGAGTACTTTTACAATTCACATAATATTTCAATACACATAATTTAGAGTTTAATCAAGTCTTCATCATATATTTGAGAATATTAAGTTAGTAGTAAAATATATCCCATCAAAAACAATACTTGTCAAAAAAACCAAGTCTCGCAACTCAGTTGTTCTACGGTAAAAAGTTGTGAGATCCATGTAATACCAAGTCCAGGCCAGGAAATCTTTAACGTTTTACATAAATTATTGACTTGGCCATCGCACTAAATAATTTAATTTACACGTGTTTTCATGCGATGGCCAAGTCAATATATTTATGTAAAACGTTAAAGATTTCCTGGCCTGGACTTGGTATTACATGGATCTCACAACTTTTTACCGTAGAACAACTGAGTTGCGAGACTTGGTTTTTTTGACAAGTATTGTTTTTGATGGGATCTCATTTCTTTTTGTATTTTGTAGACAGCAGTTATGTATCTAGAAAACTGGACCGAAATTGAAAAATTTTACTCGACTTGGCGGTTGCACTACCGTGCCCCCAAATATTTTAGTTTTTCCTTGATTCATACACCAAACACTACTTATATTCCAAATTTGAAGCTTCTAGGTCTGCTAGAAGTGCCTTAGAATTTTGATGATCGGTGAGTCAGTCAGTGAGTCAGTGAGTCAGTGAGTCAGTGAGTGACAAAATTAAGTAACTTTGACCCGTTATAATTCTTAAACTACTGGTTCAAATTGAATGAAATTTTAAATATACCGTGTCTTTACAATGCCTGCATAGCTAATGAAAATTCAGCCTTCTAGTTTTATCCACAACGAAGTTACAGGCGGTCGAAAATGGCCTGAATTGCTTCGAGAAAAGGATGGTACGGCCGTGCCGCTTTTTAGCTCGACTTGGTGGGGGCACTGCCGTGCCCCCAGATTCTTTCAAGTTTATTATTTACTACAATAGTATTTAAAAGGTCACTTTGGCCAGTTTCTGATAAAGTGACACTATTCTCTACCAAACAAAGGTTACTGGTTGGTTACACAGTTACATCACTTTATCTGACAGATAAGTTCCTAGTAGGCTACTAGGATGGCAAATGAACATTTTAAATCTGGCTGGTGGTAGCTGTAGATACATGCTTATTGCATGTATTTCATCCTAACAAATCAATATTTTCAAATACTTTAAATATGCTAGGGAGACTTCCACTAACTTTCATTTCATTCAATATCAGCACAAGTTCTCTTAATGACTGGTATATAGATCGATATTTTTGATAAAATGTTCTGTCACACTGTATGAACAAAAATCTGGTAAGATTTTTTGTTCAATTGAGTTCTCATTACTTTCCAAGTTCAAGTTTAATTCACCCAACGTTTCTTGAACTTTCTGAACACTATATGCCTCTAGATATGCTTCCAAAGTTATATACAGTGTGTGAATAACATGATTTAATGATATTTTATGATCTTTAGGCAAGGAAAGTGGATCAAATCTTTTGTATGTCTCAGTCTCTTCATCAACAATGTTTCCTTTTGAATTTAATTTGTTACATCTCCTTAGTAAGTGCTTCATTAGATTAGTATTTTTAAAATTTGTGGTCCTTGGAATATTAATTTGACTAGTGCTTTCAGGATATTTCTTCCACTGAAGATTTTTCACAAAATCTGTGAATATCTTTAGTGGATCGTCTTCTTGGGTTGGTAGGATCCTCTTGATATGTAGTGTCCCTATGAGATACTTCATGTAATTTGGTTTTATTCTTTCTAATATCCTGATCACAGATTCATGAGGCATTTCTGTAAAAGAAAAAAAATACAGACATAAGAGAAATCATTCTATAATCATCAATAATTAAATTATTACAAAGAGGTCTTGAATTGTTTACCTGCAATAATTTTATAAAATTCATTTGCAAAAGCTGTGCAATATTTTCCAGTATTAGGGTAGTCACTATTTGAATTATTTTCACAAATATAAAAAGTCTGAATCATTGTATTTAGCCATATCTGAAAAAGAATACACAAAATAATGAAATAAAGAAAATTACCTATTTCTTATTAGTATATTTATTTATGTAAAAATGAGATTACTTACAGTTATTACTTTTATGTGTTCTTCTGGGTACTGCAGGTGTATCATATAAACAAACAGCCTCATTATTTGTCTGCAGTTGTTGTTCACAGCTCCAGTAAACAGGACATTGTTTGACCATAGCAAATAGGCCATGAGAGGCTTGTGAGAACGCATAATGTGACTACCTAAGTTGTTAGTATACCTAGAAACAAATTGTCTACCAATTAAACAGGGCAAAGTATTCTGTGGGTTTATAAAAAAAGGTATTAATATAACTATGTAAATTAAAATGAAGATTATGCTTTTTAAATAATTAAAAAATCTATACTTAATACCTTGTATGCCAAATGGTTAAATCATATTGTAACAGTTCTATAATAGTATCCAAAACGGCAATGAGTCTCTTTATCCTTTCAGTTCGATGCAGCAGCTCATATATTTCGAATTTCTCTTTCTGCCAGTGCAATCCCTTGACACTCTGCTTCATATCTTCAGGTATATTTTCACATTTATCGACAAGCGGTTCATCTTTGCTGTCCATGCTTAATTCATGTTCTAATCTATTCAGACAGTATTTAAATATCCCTTTGCTGCAGCCGAACTCAGTCCGATTTGTAAAAGATTTATCTTTCAAGTCCATTGGTGACGTCAAAAAATCATTATAGCATTTTCTGAGGCTCTTGACAAGGCACGGTGGATGATAGCTGAAGTTCAATTCAAATACTTGTTGACACTTATCCAATAAGTATTCAATTGTGTAATCAGTGTGTTCATCATTGTGGGCATTCTGTAATGATAATTAGGATAATTAAAATATATTATCTTCTAATAAATGATGAATAATACAAACATTTATATACTGATAACAGATTGGTAGGGAGGTTTTATTACTTTTTAAAAATTAAAGTAGGTGGTACATAAATCGTAAAATCACAATGTACTTACCAGCATAATTTCTACAATATCTTTTAGAATATTCGCTGATAAATATTGATCTGGTGTAATACACAGTCGGCAGACTTCCAGTGCTTCACGCCACATGTTAGTTTTCATCTCTATTCTGAAAGACTCCTCAGCATATGATGGCATAGCCTTGCTACTGCTGGACTGAAAGTGCAATAAACAACTATTTATTTATGAATAAAAAGTTGCAATTTAAAAACTAACTCTCAAAATAATGATCTGGTGAAGGTCACAGGAAGAGGTGGTCTTTGTGGAAATCTTTGGGGGAGACTTTTGTAAAGCAGTGGATGTCATTCGGCTGAAACAAACAAACTCAAAATCAAAAGTTAATATTATCTAATTAGATTTTTTCAATCAATTAAGACTGTGAATTATTTATTTGGGTATCTAATACAGTTAAGGTACAATTTAAATTAACGTTAGGTATTTAAATTGCTACATAATGAAATAAATCACAAGTAATAAATCTTTTTAATAAATTGTGTACTACTTGCTTCCTTAATTTGGTACTTACATTTTTGTGATCATGATGTTTGCATGTGGTAATGTTTGCACAAGGGGGCACATGTATCAATTGGAATCGCAAGTTGTGGTCATAGTAAGATTTGTAAGACACTAATTCACATGCTGTTATGAAGTTTCTTCTTTTCTTTGCTTGTAGGTCTTCCCCGGGAACTTTTTCAACCTTCTGCCGTTTAGAAAATAAAGATTCTTCCGTATTTTCACAATCTCGTTTGTGTTTGTTCGCATTTGGCGAGTCCAGTAGTTTAATTTTTTTCTTCCTAGGACTGCTCATTGTAACAGGGTTTCCTTGACCTTGTTACTTGAAAAGCTCTTTCTATTATCAAAGAAAAAAGATAAAACGCAGTTTAAAGTTTCGTCACAGTAAATCTAAAAGTACTCACAAGCAAGACAAACAACATTTTGTAAACACTCAACTCAACAAAAAAAACTTGGCTGGCTTGTTTTTTTTTTTTTTTTTTTTTTGGGGGATGGACTGTCCCGCTTGGCTGGCTTGCTTGGTTTTCAAACAAAAGTCAACGTCAAAAACGCCAAAATTTGAATTTGACACATCGATTTGCTCTTTATTTTAACGTTTTTGTGTAAAATATGTCATTCACCCCATTCACCCCATTTTCGTAAATTCGTAATGTACTCGTGTACAACAATAATTTCAAGTCATTAATTGTTGTACAATACAACTCCTTTTACTGAAAAAGCGCGGGAAACGTCGGTTTGTTCGGTCGTCCTTTTTTTGCTCTTTTTGAAACTTAATTATTTAAATAGTATATTGTATAGGATCAGTTGTAAAATAGTGTGTATATTAATTATCTGTATATATTTAATATAATTAGTGTAAAAATTCCTGTACATTGGTAAGTTTTTCACTTTTTTAAAGTTTCATGGATGAGTCCGATGATCCTGGCGGGACCGGCGTCCCCCAGGTATCTAATTTTGTTACCATATCACAATGTTCTGAAACCGAAGGATCTCAAAGAGACACTGATTGTTCGGATGCTGGTCAATCTAGCTCTTCTCGGAAACGTTCTATAAACCGTAAATATTGTAAACATTGCAACAAAAAGAGGAAACATAGGTCAAATTCATCGAATGAAAATAATAGTTGTTTATGTGACAGTGAAAGTAATCAGCCTAATATTTTTATTAATCCGCCTGATAACTTTGTAGTTCCAAACTCTCCCATGTCGGAACCCATTGCATTGAACTCCACTGAAAGCCCAGCCCCAAATCCTCGTGTATCGACTTTTGTAGGCAGATCTCGCTACGAAGCTTCTGATGCAGCCCCT